TTAGGTAAATTGGAACATGCAATTGTTAATTAGTAAAATATTACACGAAATCACTTTCATTTACGTCCAAAATTTTAATTCTCAATAAGATATTTGCTATTATTTATCACTGTTTTGCTGCTGTGTTGATCGAAAATTATGTTGCATATCTTAAATATTATTATATATTGGAAATTACACAATTGTTCCATTATATAACGTCCGATGTGTAATAATATTTATGATATGCAACATTAGAAAAAAATCTATAATTCAGAATGATTTTTATATTAATTTTATTGTGTTTAAAGCAGCCTTGCAAATTATACAACAATCTGGCGATAATCTAGCGGAGAACGCCTTCTTTAATGATTAATTATATACTGAGAAGTAAATGATTGAGCGAGCTAAAAGAATAAAAATAAAAAGAATATGTGTCCACACATTATAAGGTCTGTTTTTTATTGTTGTACTTTGAATGCAATAAGTTGAAGTGAAACAAACGTATATTTGTTTACTTATTGCACTGTGTGTATCAGTTCAGAAAGTGTAGCAATAAGAAACAGATCTATAGATGTGACGTTTAATTTTAAATTTATAATACTCTGAAATATAAGCAAATATATAGCAATATTTATCATTTGTTTTCCAGAGTGATGTGTGTGATCTTTATTTACAAGTAAGATAATAATTAAATGAATAGATTCAACGATTCTTAATTATCATAAATGTTACAAAAATTTTGCCCTCGAACGAAACTAAAAACTTATGAGTACCGAGAAAAAAACGTTGATTTAATATCAAATAAAATTACCTGTCATATGATATTAAATAAGTATCGTTTATATATGTAATTAAGAAAGGGATTAGAAAAATTGAACGATAAATATACATGATGTCTTTACACAAAAAAATTCGAGGTGCAAGATGTAAACGTGAAAAAACGTATCTCATATCATAAAAATTCCTTGAGTAAATTATTGACTTTAGGTAGCAATATTGGCGGCCTACAAGATATTTTTAACTCTATCACACGCACTATAATTATTTCTACGGTTGCATTTACATATATAATTTTTTACATATCTGTATCGCGTGATCTCACAAATATCAATATTAATATTTCTTAAATTAATTGAGGGGAATGTTTACATGTCATGTACACGTCATAACTGAACATTAATTGATTTTGTAATGGATTTGCGTAATTATTTTGACATTTATGTTACGTATATCTTTCTATTTGTAATATATTCATTACTATAATTTAGTTAATTAATAAAGTTTAATTGATTATTCACGCACAGTAATTCCAAATGATAATTTACATTTTACGTTATGCAGTCTGGCGGGAAACAACAATCGTGAGAAATTGCGCTTTTATTTATAGTGTTGAAACAAAAAATATCGGATAGCACAGTTCAAATAATAAGCTAACATAATAAAATAACTGAATGAGTCACATCGCACTTGTGTACTCACTCGTTATATCTGTTATGCAAAACGATTATAAATGCAATGTGGCATGCGCTTCTTTGCGCTCGTTATGTGAATTCTTAATAGTCTTAAGAATTCTCTCATTGTTTTTTTTATATTGGGTTGGCCGGAAAGTTCGTGCCGATTTTGAAGGAAAATCGAAAAGATTTAAATTTTAGTATATTGTACATTTATTAAATTTAAATCTTTTGCGGCACGGAACTTTCCGGACAACCCAATACAAGCATATTCAAAATGCCGATAAAATAAATAATAATAAACGTAGTATTGGCAACATCTTATGATCCCGTGTATAATGTAGTTTTAAAAAAAGTAAAAGAAAAAAATCAGCGAAGCATTATTCACAGTTACGGCAGGAAGGCGTTCCTGAATAGATTACTTTGTTACTATCACATATCGATAAAAATGTGCGAGATAAGATCCTCGCAGGAAAATCAGAAATAAAATATCCGGCAATATTCAGTAACGGATATAAATGGACTTCGACATTTATCAGATTTTTTTTTTTTAATATCGATGGAAATATCGTTATCTATTTATACATAAATACTAGTGGATTTACCTTACGCCGTGCAACAGCCGACGATAGCATCCATGATGGAAAATAAATCAAGTAATCAATTCAGGTCAATTTGCACAATAAACACGGGCAATGTTCTTTTAATTGCATTATGATTAAATGGCTCTTTACTCGCGTCGAAAGCATTACTAATCGTGAGATCTCTCGGCAATAATTCTATTTAATCCTATTTATGTTGTACATGCGCTCGAAAGTAAATTACACAACTAATCGTACACGTCTATCAGAATTGTCCTATTATAAATCCTGTGCAAACAAGCAACTATTAATTAGACAATGTTTTTTTATCGTTTGATTTAAGATAACATCGATTAAATGCGTCTTATTTCTAATTTTTCATTTTGAAAATTCGTTTCTGAATATTTGTTTAAACAATGCATGTTTGACATTGATAAGAATTCGATATGAAATCGTGGGACTTATCGACGTAAATCGATAAATAAATAGATAGAATGTGTATAAAATTTTACGAAATACTCGCAAACGGTTATTATATCAAACGATACTACAGAGAGCTCGTTAATGCACATGCATGATCTGAGTATGGTCATTTCAAGTGTATCAAGTGTATCAATAGAACCCTATTACTGATAGCTATCTTGCTCCCTAATCAAATTTAATGGAAAAATAGACTAGGGGAACCTCGCTCGAATGTATTATATATATATATCGCTGGTAACGACCCCTAATCTACGATCATCCTTTTCGTATTCAGTTCACAGTTGGATATAACAGAAGACAAAGTATCCACGCGTTGTACGTATCTTCCGGTGAATTCACGAGAAACCAACAGGCCATTTTCCTGGTAAGCAAGTAAATAATCATACAAGTAGAGTAAGGATAGAATTTTTATCGAGAGCATGCCCTGGGATGTTCCAATTTAGTTCGAATATCTTGTTGAACGCTCACTCATTCGTAGATACTCACTTTCTTCTTCATCATATGAAATCACGTTTCGACGCTTAATTAAGATTAATTAAGAGAATTGTAAGCTTTATAAATAATATACATATAAATTTAATAGAAAAGTGTCCCTTAATAAATTTCGTCAAAAATGTATGCTTGTTATTCAAGCAGGTGAGCAGATAAATTGATAACAGATGTTGCTACATATTGTTACGATTATTATTTTGCAACAAATAGGCACGATTTTATCTAACAATAAATAAAAGTTTAAAAGATCTAAATACTTGTCTAACAACACCTATATTTTTCTATTTGTAATTTAAATGCAAAGGATATTTAATTAATAATACTTTTTTATCAATTGATTTGAGTATTACGATAGAAATTATTTATTAAATATTCCAATGGTCATTAATATAAATTAGTAACATAATATTTTTTTCATAAAATGTAATATTAATTTTAAAAAATATAATTAAAGGAAATGACTGGTATACGCGCATCGATTTGTTTCTTTTAGATTCGAAATATTTTTATAGCTTTACATTAGAAATATTAATTTCTGTGTAATTGCGCCGAATAGTCTAAATATAGATAGTAAGAAACACTTTGCATTTTGCAGCGCGTCCATGCCAATAATAACCTTTGCCGAATGCCTATGTGCTGCACGAAGCGCTAAGTCGAGACGAAATCACAATCTGAATATACTGTAGCAATAGTTATTTTAAATCATTATATAAAGAAAATTGTATTCCAAAAACAAAAATAAAAAAATTGGAAAAATATTGTAGCGAAGAATAAATTGAAAATAGCATTTATCATTTCAATATTAATTTTAAGATATAATAATGCCAAATTGGTCAATTATAGATTATGTTTATAAATATATAAACGATTATCTGTCTGTCTGACGCCTCAATTGTGTTAGTAATCGCGCATTTTATGCGCTCACTAAAACTATCAATGCATGATAATTTTCAATCACAGATTATACTTTTTAATTGTTATCTATAATTAGCCAGTATTTAAACTTTTATATCTCAAAAACTATTGATCAGACAAATAATGAATATTTTTATAATTTATTTTTTTTTTTTAGAACTTTCTTGCTGTAGTATTTTAATTTGCGAATTTTAGGTGCATAAATTTCTGGTTTAACTTCTTCTAAATTGCCTTAAGCAATATCTACAGTGTTCGATAATCGAATATCGTGATTAAATAAATCTTGACAATGATGCGAATATTGCTGCTAAATTCAAATTAAACTCGATCAGATTCAATTTCTACGCATTAACGATCAATTGAGCACCGCACGTGCTACAATCACCATACGTAAATATAATACAAAAAGTGATTTAGGCCCAGTTCAGTCAACTCACATTAACTCTTAACCGAGGTTAAGACAACTTATTCATTGTCTCTTTCTAATTCTAGAATTGAAAAGAGATGAGAAACAAGTTGATTATGAGTTAACCGTGTGGAATTTACATATTGTCCTCTGTCATCTACGACTCTATGATCAATATAATAGTGACATATTCGAATCAATCTTTTCTTAACAAAAACTAAGAAAAAAATTAATCCTAGCATATCTCTAAGTATGATGAGGCTGCGGTTGATTTGGACGTTTTCAACATTATATTTTTATTTTTTATTTTGCGTCTAATGAACGATAAAGACAAAATGATGATTACAAACGCTTAAAGCACGTGAGTGTCCAAATCGACCGCAGTGATAGCAAAGACAATACGCGGCAAAATTTTTAACATAGAAGAATATATTCAGATTGAAGAATTCTTAGACAAAAAGCAGCTCGGTAGACTTGAGCCATCAGATATTATATATACTGGTCAGTGATTATGCAATAGGATATGCGTAACGTAAAATGCCTTGTAGAATGATAACATACTACACATTCAAATAGGAACTATTAAGCAAATCGTAACATCGATAACGAGCACAATAATTGCCGATAAGTTCTCACTAATAATAACATTCGAATAATAACATGCGATGCACCGTTAAACTTGTGCGCGACTGTCACTTTGTCCGCATTCGTCGCTTACATTGGATGAATCGTTTTCGACTGGTGTATGAATCTGTCGCGTGATAAACCGTTTTGCTAATTAGGATTCCGCATCCGCATTTGCGCGTGTGTACGCGCATTAACATGGATAAAGCGTTTGGAACAACAGAAGCGGAACGAAGTTGAGCACGAGGCAACTGTTATTGCAGGTGCAGTCAGGTGGGTATGACATATCTCGTTCTGATGCAACGTAATACATACTCGCGTGCAGATCGCGTGCGATACATGATGAATGCAAATAATGCGCTAATTACAGCGCTTCATTCGAACAAATTTCGTCCGCGTCACGTAACCATTCAAGCTTGAATGCCTCGAATGGCGGGAATATAAATATCGAGCATATATTAATTTAACTTTTACAAGTTTTACTTAAATTCCTGTTGATGTATTC